GGGGGGGGGCGATAAAAATTATGGCTGAAAACTGGGTCGGCAAAAGTGAAAGTTTGAGAAGCACTGCTCTGATCACACAATAAAAAAATTTATCATATTCCGTACTATCTAGATTGCTATACATACAGCATAAGAAAATACAGCGTCATTTATATCCTGCTGCATAAAGTATGTTTTTACTGTATTTAAACAATGTAAAGCATTAGAAAGTGAAGCAGTTTTAATAGAAGTTTCGTTATCACAATTTCTACATTAGAATTTATTATTCATTGTCTCCAGCAAATTAATAATTTCCTCAACTTCAGTTGCACAGATAGTCAGTTCATTACACACATCAAACATTTCTTTTACATCCACTGACAAAATTTTTAGATGGTTGAGGATAACATTCATAGCTGTATCAATTATTTCACATTTTTGGAGCTAATAAAGCCTTTGAAGACTTTTGTTTAAAATTTTCTTTATAATTGACTATATTACTAATAAATAGATCAGTTGCGCTCTAAATGAGTCTTTTTTCTAATTGCTCGCTTTAATTATCAAATTGACCTCTTGTGGGGCGTAGGACATACTTTGAGAAACACTGCTTTGAGTAATCTATTCTTGATTATGTTTATGGGGTCTTAGGGGTGCTAAATTTTTCTAGAGGTCTGAAAATATAAAACATTTTCAAACAGGTATAACTCTTTTAAATTTAAATTAAATGATTCGAATTTTTTACACATTATTTGTAAAAGAATGGGGCTTCAGAAAAGTATAAAGTGTTTAAAATATAATAATAATTTTAAAAATCATAAGCACATATGAAAATTGCATGATAAATATTAAGTATTTTTTGCGTTGCACACTCTATTTTCTAAAATAGTAGCATCTGATGTATAAAACTTTATAGAATTATAAAATGAATCACACTCTTTAAGTCCTACCTAATTTTAGTATTATATATCTTTTGTATTTCAAAATATTTGTGAAACATTGCAATTTTTTAAATATTTAAAAAAAAAATTTTTTATTTATTAAAATATGTAAGTTATTATTCTATTTATATAAAAATAGCTACAGTGTAATGAGAATACATTTAACTTTATTAATCAACTTATAGCTAGTAATTAAAGCAAATATTTTAGAAACTAACATGCGTGACGTAAGACTATAAATATTTCTTATAGAAAAGTTTCTTATTTTCCTATGCTTATAATTTTTAAAATTATGATTATATTTGAAACATTTTATACTTTTCTGAAGACCCATTCCTTTATAAATAATGTTTAAAAGATTCGAATTATTTAATTTATATTTAAAAGAATTATACCTGTTAGAAAATTGTTTATATTTTCAGACCTTTAGACAAATTTAGCACCCTGAGACTCCTTATGCTACCGTCAAAATGGGTTAAATTTCTTAAACTAATTTCAAAGGTAAAAATACACCTAACTAATTAAAATGAGTTAACAAACGTAATTTGATAAGAGAAACAGTGTGTTATAAGGGTTTTATTATTAACTGAATTGTCCGTTACTTAAAAAGCTATTCATCCTCATTATCTTCAAATTTTGTGTGTAAGGCTATAAAGGTATCCGACTATGTTCGGAACCGTAATTTTGCAAAAGCGTGTATATGGACGATATTTATGATATTTAGTGTCACTTAAATTAGAAAATGTATATAAAATGGTTTTAAGAATAGTATTATACAATAAAAAATTATTTTTGTGCAATATTTTGACAAAAAATGAACATAGAATGACCCCTTTTCAAAATATTCTCCTTTTGTGAAAAATGATTCTATATTATAATAATATTTTGCCTGTATATAGCTAAGACCTCTATACAAAGGCTCAACAAGAATTTTTGAAATATACAACTTAAAAGTGGGTTTATCCATGTTTTACGCCAACAGAGGGGAGAAATTTTAAGAAATAAACCCTGATAATTATTTCAATGTGTTGTAACTCTGAAAATAATGTGATTTTTTCAAAACTCATAGTTGAGCCTCCTTACAGAGGTCTGTGCTATATACAGGCAAAATATTATTATAATAGAAGCATTTTTCAAAAAAGGAGAAAATTTTGAAGAAAGGTTATTCTAAGTTAATTTTTTGCCGAAATATTGTACTTAAATAATTTTTTTTGTCAAAATGTCCTTAAAACAATTTTATGCACGTTTTCTAATATAAGTGACACTAAATGTCATGAAAACTTTTCCATTTATGCGCTTTCTTAAAATCTCGGTTAACAACGTAGTCGGATACCTTAAGCTAAACTGGTATTAGCAATGATTTTAAAGTATTCTTTAATCTAAAATACTTATAAATATTTAACTTAATTATGTCAAATAGATTTATAATAACTTCGAGCTAAATTCAGATTCCAATTAAGCAGTCTGCAATTTATATAAATAAAATATACTCATTAATGTATTGAAACAATCTATATTGAATTGAATTCGGTTCTTTTTCACACCTTAATAATCACGTTAAAAAAATGACAGGAATGAAAATTTGTCTTCAATGCAAGCAGGTTTAAAAGGCACAAAATATTTTAAAATTTAACGTTATCAGATATTTCGGAACTTTTCTTAAACTTCTCCACTCATTATATTATTTTGGGAAAGAACAAATCATTAGTGTTTCTAACTATCTAAGCTATTATATACGCCAAGAAGGTTCAGAGAAAAAATTACGTCGACGTTTCAAGAAATAGTTTCGGTTTGTTATATATAATCTTCCTGAATTTTCTATTCATTATAATTTTCCATTTTTCCAGAATTTTCTATTCATCAAATTATTCGTAATTATCCATTCATTAATTTATTTCAAAAACAAAATATAGAGTCACACTTTTGATTTAATTGAGCTGAAATCAAAAAGAACTGTCTTTAAATGACAGATTTCCTTCAAATAAAGTACTTGCCTGATTGTTCTTTTTGCTTCTCAAATAGTATAGCTATCTCTAATCTTAATTAATGAAACATAGGAATTCTAACATATAAAAATATTTGTCATTTCTCTCATTTTCTCGATTCGTTTATACATTTTAGGGCTTGAAATAAACGGTAAAAACTATTAATTATGGATTGAATATCTAAAACAAGACTGATTAAAAGAAGTTTTTAACCGAAAAAGAAACAAAAAAATAAATACTTCGAGTTGAAGAAAAGTTGGACGTTTTTTTGTACTATATGTAGTATATATATATATATATATATATATATATATATATATATACAGAGAGAGAGAGAGAAAGAAAGAGAAATATACGTTTTCTCTTTCTTTAATATACACTAACAACTGACTTATTTCATTTAATTCTACTTCGGACGTAAATTTTCTCCATATCCTCTCCTTGTTAAAGGCTAAATGTAACTAATGCGACTTAGTGTTTATATATCGTATTTTGTAGTTTATATTGCCTATAAAAGAGCATTACAAAAAATTTTATTTCATAAAAATCATGTTGCTATTTCTTCGATCACAAGATAAATATACTAAAATTTAAAGCACAGTATACAGATAATTTTCAGTAAATATATTATAACATTTTTATATATTGTTAAATAAGGATTATATTTTCAAAGTCACTTTCTCATCAAAGATAGGCGAAGAAAGATACAAACTATTCAGTAAACACGAAGTATTTTCTCATCAATAATGTAATTTTATCGTATTTCACTTCAACAATGTTTAACAGCAATGGAAAACAATGTTTTAACTTCGTAATAACAATCCATAATTGTTGTTTTTCTATATATTTCAAGCCATCCCATTAAATAAATCATTGCTAAATTGAGAGATAATGTAAAATTTTATCTATTACGGCTTCCAAAGCATCTTCACTTCTAACTGCCTGAGAGGATCTTGCATTAATTTAATGCCTTATACTGCTGCTAATAGCTGAAATTATACACTGCAATCGACGCTATTTGGAAGCAGCTCCGTCCTTAATGGGTTCTTAGGTTGTACACGTCTATCTCATAATGTCCTTCCAACTCTATACATGTTAGTAACTCATACTGCATTTAGAGGTATCAGAATCGGCAATATTCAGACTGTGACCCTATAGACATGGGTAAAGTGAGCTATACATTCTCAAGAAGGAGTTAAATTATTTATACTCTTGTTAATTTCTAGCTAAATACGATGAGATTGTCTGTAATTGTCAGATAATACTATATTTTTCGGCAATTAAAAATAT